AAACATCCTCTAACAACCACTGAGAAAGAGGAACATAGGAATTAATGGGCATTGTAGGTACTGTAAATGCAGAAAGTGAGTGGAAGTAATAAGGATCTGAGATTAAATACATAGAGAAAAGCTAGGTAAGGTGAACATGACTTTGACACCTTATTCAAGAAGCAGCACACCATGATGTGCAGAGCTGTCGGGATGATGCAGGAGGTCAATGGCATATTAACAGCTTTGTAACTTAATTACTCGTCCCTCATCATTCTGATGTTAGTGTTATTGCCTGGGTAATTTTTCTCCTTTAGGCAGAACAAGAAAAGACTCATAAGCTGCAAGAGCAAGACTCGCTTCTGAATGCTGCCCGTCCCAACAGTCTCGGAGAGCTGCAGAGCATGCAACGTGAGAGGGCTCAGCTTCAAAGAGAGCTGTGAGGAGTTTTCTCATCTGCAGCCTGTCTCCCCTTCCTCCGTTGCAATTGTTACTTATTAACACAGAAGGGCCAGTTTGGTATTTAATATGGAGGACATCTTCTGTCCTCCTGTTGTGCCAGAACTCCATGTTGGCTACTTTGTCTTTCTTTAGGGAGGCCCTGTGTACAGAGCATGGCAAATGCAGGCAGAAGGTAAGCCTAGCCGAGGAGGCAGCAACCAGGCAGAGACAGGTTTTGAAATGTACTGTTGCTAGACTGCAAGGTGAACTTGAGACAGCTTTGCAGGAGAAAGCATCTCTGCTGGCAGAAAAGGATCTTCAACAGGAGGTACAGCAAACTTACTGTTTTAAAGCCATACTCTTGAAGGCTGCTTTCGGACCCAACATCGCTGGAGTTGTTATTTACATACCAGTTTTGCTTCACAATGATTACTTTTTGGTATTGCAGTGGCAAGTGCAACGTGCTCTCCCCTTTTCTACTATGCTTGTATTTGGACTTGTAATGTCTCCTCTCTGAAGCATGAAAAGAGAGAGAAAACAGGGCAGCTCTACAGATATTATTTCTGAACTTTGGAGCTGACTTGCAACCTTCAGATCAAGTGTTCTGAAGATGTGTAGTATTTCTGTGAATCTGGATTTTTCAGGTGAGAATGATTTCACATTTCTTTTGACAGATAAGGACAACAGCAAATGAAACAATACAGAAAAGGAACAAATTGGAAGTAGAAAAGACAGAGAATGAGGTATCTTGCAATATGTATGGCTGTTCTTTAGTGTTGTCTTTCTCTAAGTTTTCCTTCAATTTTACTTACTCTCTCTTAACTGAATTATTTCTAAATAATGTGATATTTACCATAGCCATATTGTTCACTTTGCTGTTTGATATTTTTCTTGTCTATATGGATATATCCTTTGGAGCAGCAAGCCTACTGCTACTTACACAAGGCCCTATTTGTAGTAGTAAGTTTGTTGTGCTACTGTGGCAAATGATAAGTAATTTTCAGCTTCTCCTGTAGCTTCCTTGCATATGCATAGCCTGGAAATGAAAAGGTAGCATCTGTTGTAGAAATGAGAAATTCCTTAGTGTTGTGACGAAGTCAGCATGGTTCTTTCTCTGTTGCAGAAGAGCTGTCTGAAACAGGAGAGACTACACCTACGTATAGCCCATATATATCCATATGTAGTGCTGAGGTTCTGTGATATTCATGTATTGTGACTGATATCTTGAAGTGGTACAATGAGAGTTGGATTTTCTTGTTCATAGCTAGAAATTACTTCAATGAAATTCACTTTGCAAACACTAGAGGAAGAGAACAAGAGGCTATTGGATCACTTGGCTGCACTGGTACATGAGCAGGTAAGCCACTAATAAAGTAGATAACTGATCATCTGACTGGTAAATAATGGTATCAGGAATCGAGGTGCTCTTTGAAGTAATCTGTATTTTATGGAGAAAGGCTGATCAAATTAAGGAATCAAAAACAGGAAAAAATGAAAAAAAAAAAAAAAAAAAAGGATAAGATACAACAAAGGATAAGATACCACAAATGTAACTCCATCTTTTTAGAGGTCTGTGTGGGATGAGCTAAGGGGACTGTACAGAGTTTCAGGTATTGGACATTTACATATGTCATTAAAGTCCTATGACTCCATTCCATTTTCTAGTACGGGTATACAGCTGTACATGTATATTCAGCCTGCGTACCTTGGGAAGGTATTAACCACAGTTTGATGCCCTCTGTGGACAAATTTGCACTTGGGACCTCATTCCCATTTTTAACTTTCTCACTACTCTCAGTCATCTGGGTCAGGATACTTGACCGGTTCCAGAGAAGTTGAGTACAAGCTTAGTAATACTGTGCTACCAGTGCTTTTACCATTGTTTTTTTAAGTGTTGGATGTAATGACCAATTACATATGTTGGAAATCCTAAGAAACACTTAGCTGCTGCTAAGGTCCTAACACCGCAGTGCTAAAGAAGAATTAACTGAAACACGTTTTGCATGTTTGTTATTCAGTAATCAAAGTTACATTTCTACAGTAGTTAGTCTGTAACATACGTATATATTTTTCCTGTTTAACACAGAACTCCTTTGGCAGTCATCAGTTAAAGAATATAACTCAATAGAGCATTCAGAACCTTAAAAAGTTGCTTGATTTTTAATTTTTTTGTATTCTTTACTGTCCTTCTAAATTATTTTCTGTCCATGCAGTCTCATCTTAGTTATTTTTGCTTCTCTGTTGCCCGTTGTCAAAGGTTTCTTTCATCTCTCTGTTTCTGTTGCCTGTGCATCTAGGACAGTAGCCTTCTTGTGGCCATCTGGAAAGTTGTACCAATTTAAGCAGTTCTTCCTAGAGATTAAGCTGTCTTTGAGGAATTTATGCCATTTGGATTTTTTTTTAAAAAAAAAAGTATTTTAGTGTTTCACCTAATTGAAAACTTAAACCTGAAGCAGCAGATGAAAGTTAAAATACTCAGGAACAGGACACCAAGCGCTACTTTTTTATTGCTTTTTGCTATGTTTTTCCTACGGAATGGTGGTATCTGCTCTTTTTTCCCCTCAGTATGCCCAGCAGGAGGTGCAGCAGGTGCTGGCAGAGCTGAGTGACAGCAAGAATAAACTGACCCATGACAAAGGAGAACTTCAGGTACCTCAGTATCTTGTTTGTCAGCTCAAAAGGGAAACACATTTTTTATGTTCATCTAAGATAAGGCTGTTAAACCTTAGCTCTTCGCTACTGAATTTGGAGGCAGATGCTTTTTTATCTTCTTTACCTAATTTCTTTGTGTAGTGTCAAGCACATATATTAAGACTCTGTATCAAAATCATCTTCAGTCCTGCTCATACTGCCTTTGGGTGACAAGATGCCACTGATGTAGCATCTCTAGGATCTGTGATAATTAAGTTGCTTAATGTGTGAAAATAGTAGAATGGTTAAGAACCACCAGGGGGCATTAAAACAAAATATATGGGTGGAAAATTGGTTGAAAGATTAGAAACATGGAAAGCTTTATAAAAAATACAAATTAATAAAGAGGGAGGCAAACCCTCCATACTTGCTTTTGGAAGCAAAAGTAAACAGCATATGTAAGATTTCTTAAGCAGAAGTTAGACAGTAAATGAGGTGCTGAAAGTGAAGGTTTTACTTCAGTGTGACCTATGTCATAGAATTTGGGACAGTGGTGCAAAGATTCCCAAGTTTCTTTTAAAAGCAGCACAGAATGTGTAGTGACCATTAAGAGCAACATATAAATGTATATGCAATAGTCCTGGGTCTGATGGTAGTGACAGAAAGAGGTGACCAAGACATTGTACTTAGATTAAAATGAGGTGAATTCTAATTGGGAGTTATTTTAAGTTAGAAGTGATTCACTTCCTACTTCTACTGTGGGACTCAGGGAAAATAAAACGTGTTGTAGGCAGAGAGACATTGTCACATCACTCTGCTTCTGTGTTCCAGATGAGATAATGCTTTTCTGCTTCTGCGCCAAAAGAAAGCTGAGCTCCTTTGCCACATCTGTTTTCTTAAGACTGAAGTGCAGAAGCTGGAGGAAGAGCTGTAGATGCACGTTTAGATAATAGTGAGCTCTGCAAGTGCATTGCATAGAGACCAAATACACTCAGGTGAAACAGAACTTTGAGAACTTCTTGCCCCTCAGAATTAGGGGCGTCTGTATGCTTACATAGCTACAAGAAATCAGAGTCAACACACTTTTTCCTGAAGAACAGAGCATATGTTTAATGTTAACTGTAGCGTTCTAGTCTGCAGCTAGAAACAGAACCTGATTTCATCAAACAAACATGAGAATTATGGAAGCTCAACTGAACAGAGCTGTTTTTCATGCAAGTCGATTGCATGTATTCAGGCTAGAAAACGCAGTTTACAGGATTATAAAGGTAGTCCTCAGGATTTATCATTATTTTGCAGTAAGAGAACCAACAGTTGCAGATAATGCTTTTCTAGCTGTATTGCTGGAAGGCAGATAGTTATTCTGCTTCAGTCTCTTTGCTCTGTCTTAATAGACAGAAATACAGAGAAGAGGTGTGTTATCCTTGGCGGTGAAACCATCCTTGTAGGTATAAGGCTATGAAGTGGACTCTGCTCTGTCAGGAGTTTGCTATTGTAAGCTGTACATTCAAGTAACGGCATTGAGACTTCTGTTCACAAGCAAGAATGAACTCATAACCGTAAATGCTCTTTCAGACTGCCCTTGCTTCTCAGATGTCAAAGCAATCTTGTAATCATTTTGAGTTGGAAAACTAGAGGCAAAACCGACAAATTATCAATCATCAATCGTATATCTCCATCTCCATGCATAATCATCATCAATATAGAAATTAGACAAAAGATGTAAATACATTTAGGACACTTCCCTGGAAAACAGGGGGTCCTATTTTTGCCTTCTTTTTCCAGAAAGCAAAATAAATCAAACTTTCTCTTGTGCTTCATTCTCCATCATAGGGGATGGTCCCTCAGATAATCATAGCTAATTGGACGTCACGTTGATGATTGAATCCATGACTTGAATGCTTTCAGATTTTGGGACAGTTAAAACAGTCAGGTCCATTGGTTTGCAGATATAGAGAAGGAGCTGTAGAAAGGTGTTACAGTGGGAGCAGACCAGAGAGGTGCTCAGAAGCAGGGGACTGTGGTGGCTCTGCAGAGCCGTGACAATGGCTGACATCACACACTTCCAATGAAGTTGTAGTCAGCATTGTGTGTCGCTGCTGCTGAGATACAGAGGGAAATCACATGACTTTGCATAACGTACTGTGGAAAGTATCACAGAAGAGAGCTTAAAGATCTTCCTGAAGTAATGCAGACTTAGGAATAAGATGCAGCATCTACGCCTGCTCCAGTGAATAGATGTTATGGAGAGTATTTATTCAGTTTCTGGTTTTGGTACTTGCATCTTCACTGCCTCCAAGGGCTGACTAATTTTGTGGTAGGAATGGCACCAAAAAAGGAAAAAAAATCCACAGCAAGGTCTTGGCAACAGACATCTCCTGATAATAATGCTAGGTCAGCTACAGGCTCACAAGCAGAAGCTATGAAATCTGATTTACATGCTTGTGCTTACTGCTCTACGTTACACCAAGTTCATTCAGCCAGAGAATTCTGTTAAATGCTATAAAGAGCATGGGAGAAAAACTGGAGAATATAATAGACACTCTCACTTAAAGATCATTGAAAACTGGATGATCTACTGCGATTACTGAAGTAGATTTTAATGTGGTGAGTGATGACATGAAATACATGTTAGAGTGATAGTTAATTTCAGTTGACTAATTGAAGACAGTGAAGAAATGGCTGAAATTTAACAGGGACCATTTAGGCTAAGCAACATTAGAATCAACAACTGGTTTTGACTAAAAACCCAGCTTCATACATCTGTGGCACTTCCTGAAGTCTGGGTGCTAAGAGTTCAGAAGCACTGGAACTAGCAGTTGCAACACCCTCAGAAAGACCTGAGAACACCACCACACATTCAGCTTGGGCTTAAACCAGGGGTAGAACAAAAGTTACGTAATTAGTGGGAGCTATTTCCGTGTTCAGAACCATTGCATACTCTTGGCATTGCTGCCAGCATGCAGGTTAGTTATAAAAGAATCCTTTAATAAAACTCTTAATAGATAACTGATTTTCCTGCTCCTTTTCCTAATGATTTCTTGTACTGCAGATGGCAGACCTGCAGGACCAGCTGGATGCAGCTAAGGATGGTAACAGTAAAGTGACAGCCATGCTGCAGCATGTGTTAGCTTCTCGTAACAAGATGCAAGCAGCTCTGGATGTGGTACAAACTGAGCTGGGACACAAGGACACTGAAATTAGCAACCTCAGAAAAGACAAGTAAGTAAAACTGATATTGTTTCTGTGGTCGATTAACAGTTTGGTGAAGACAGATATGAATGAAAAGTGGCATCTGCCCCATGGTTCTGGCTAAGAAGCTGTAGGACAAGTTTCTTTGAGAAGTTCCCTATATCCTTTCCTGTGCAATCCTGAAACATCGTATGTGTATTAGTGAACCAAGTACACCAAGTGCTTGTCAGGGACTCTGCAAGCTTGGCAGGCCTTGTGCATCTTGTAAAAAAACAGTTCAAGTTTAACTTCAGTGAAAGGCAAAACTTAATATGGTTAAGGTAGAGAAATAAACTGTGAGATGGTCACCACTTCAGAGAAGTTGTGCACAAATTGACATAAAGCATGATTTTTTTTAATCTGATTTCCATTTTCAGGAGCCAGGCTCAACAGAAAATACAGAGGTTAGAAGCAGAATTGGAGCATTGCCAAGCCAAACTGGTTGCCATGGAAAGGCAGCACAGCAGCCAGGTAGAGACCGCATTTTTCATGGTAACAACCACTGCATTTTTGGTGTTGAGCCAAGTACCTTTTTTTTTTTTCCTGAATACAACATGGTGCAACACATTCATGTGAATCAAGGCAAAATATTCTATCAGCTTTTGGCTGTGGAGCAGGTAAATCGTTATCCAAGTGTTGAAGGAGGCAAGCGTCTCCTCTCTAAAGGAAAATTTCTTGGCACGGGTGAAGGTTTTACAGACTGCAGCTGGATACATAATGTGAACAGGTATTTTGGAAGTTTATATAGCCTTTTTTTTTTTTTTTTATTAGGATGGAGGGGAAAAGAGTCTGAGACTTGCTTTCATGTCTCCTCATAATACTTAGTGTCAGAAGGATTACCTCGCAATGCACACACACTCACTATTGGCAAAGAACATTTTTTTTTTTTTTCCCCAAGAGAGTCATGGCTATATGACAGGTTGTTCTGATCCTTCTGATGAAGCCAGTCAGTGGACTGGCATTGTAAGGATTCCCATCTGGATGCCTGTGCTTAGGACATTTGTACTCAGGCAGCGGGTGAACACACTGTAACTTCCTGTAAATTGATACTGGTGGGGAAGGAAAAAAAAAATTCCTTTCTAAGCTTTTTCATTTGGTTAAGTATAAATCTGATCTGTTGTTACTGCACAGGTGGAACCATTTTGTAAGGTACTAGAAAGTGGTAGAACAGACAAGAAAGTTGTTCTTCACTTGGAAGAAATTCTGCAGGTCAATAATACCCTGCAGAGCAAGCTGATCCAAACTCGTTATGAAGTGAAAAGTAAAGAAACTGAGCATCAACAGCTGATGGTCTGCAGGTAAGACCAGATCTGTGATACTACACTTGAGGAGAAACATTACTTTGCACGAACATCAGAGCGTTATGGCTTTACTCATCTCTCAGTATCAACCTCGACTGTACGCTGAGCAGCAGCATGATGACGATGGATTCATGCAGAGCTGTAGAAATGGGCTCTTTCACTTGTTCCCATAATGACTCTTCAACCTACTGTGCTGCACTGAGGAACTGCTTACCCCGGGTCATGATGGCACTTCTACAAACAGCTTTGCCATGAGAATAGCAGATGCCACTTACACTTTGAGGTGGCCTGTGGTAGCTATAGCTAGGAGAGCACAGGATAACTGTTTAAATTGCCCATCCAAAATTGAGTGCTAGTAAGTAAAACCTCAAACCTTAGTGTAGATGCACTCTGAATCTCCAAATTATCCTTTGTCTACACAGGCTTAGCCATTTAATTTTCTGAAGGAACGTAAGTTGTCCTGAAGTGGTTTTTCCAAAAAGTCTGTTTACCTTCTGTAGCTATTTTGAATCTGCTTTTAAATAAATGGAATATGAAATATTAGAAAACACATCGCAATCTTTAAACAGTAGTGGTGCAGAGAGTATATTCAATACAAAAGTATTTACAATGGAATTGTGTTTCCTATTCTTCTGTTTAAAAAATAAAGCATAGTAAATATAAACTTGAGTAACTGAACTTTTTTGTCTCTTTAAAGGGAACAGTTAATGGAAGAAGCCAAGACTGAGGGAAAGATGTATGCTGAACACTTAAAGTCTTTGAAGAAGCAGTTTCAAACTGAACAAGAGGCTTCTGGGAAAAAAGCCTGTCAAGAATCCACTGAGGTGAGAAGGGGTAGAATTAAAAGATTTCAGTGAATAATTTTGAGAGAAAGAAGTCTGCTTTACGATTTTCCAACAGAACAAGAGCAGCTCATGAAAAATACTTGTCTCCTTTTCCATTCATCATGGAGTTGTCCATTACTTGTATACAACAAATAGAATTTTGTCATGTGGTGGACAGACATTTTGGTGGCCGTGCTTAGTGATATCTGTCCTCTCCTAACTTTTTTGTGTACCACCCCATATCCCCCAACACTATATACCCCATTGTACATAAGATCTAGACATTGGTATTGGTCCTTCCAGTGACTTCAAAAGGATAATCTGGGGTTGTCTAGCAATCTCCAGGGATAAAGTACTGGTTTGGAAGTCTGCTTTGTTTCTTGGGGGCTGGAGCATAAAGCTCAATGTAACCTTAGTATTACTCAGATCCCAGCATTCACTTTTTTTCCCACTTTGTTAAAAGGTTATTAAAGAAAAGCCAAAACACCAGGTGCTGTAGCATACTTCAGATAGAGCAAATCAATTGTGTGTGTTCCTCAATTGTTGTATAGAATGAACTAATTCCTACAGTTAATGCAAACTCACTTT